GGCCCTTTCAAGCTCCCCAGTATTCACTTATCGTAGAGATACATAAATAAAATAAGACTTGTATTCCAAGATTGACTCATCAGAAGAGGCCATATGGTCTTGAGCTAAGAGAACCCTGTTTTGTTTTAGAGGATGCTGGTCTCTGTAACCTTTCGGTGCCTCATGCTTGTGAAATTGTGTGGCCAACTGCATCAAACATGCTACATCACAGAGTGTCCATGGAGCAATACTAAATCCTCAGAGAGTTCACAGGAGAGTTGAGAGTCTGGGTCATGTCCTAGGACACGAGAGGTGTTACACAGGCAAGCCTAAACACCAAATGCATGGCTCCGTCAGAGGGCGTTGCACTTAGAAAACTCGTACCAGAGAGTATGTTTCATAAGCATCTCTCCCCATATATATCCTGCTGTACGTGGTTCTTTTTCTGGGTAGCAGTCACAAGTGACTAAGGAATTGGTGAGAGAATGTATTTACGACTCTTTCTGACCCTCTCACATAAAAGGGCAGAAAAAAGCACGAAAGTGAAAAATAAAGATCAAAGAGCCCTTTTACCTTCATAAAGTCCCACGAATGGAAAGTGCTATTCAACACAGACACTCCAAATTTATCATGAACCCTAAAAGAAGAAATAGCAATCCTTAAGGTGTCAACTGTTGCCTCCTGAGTTTAAGCATGGAAGTCCAGGAAGACAACATTCAATCTCAAACGATCCACCAGAAATTAAATAAAGGTGGCACAGAGCTCCTCCACCATTAGACAGAGCCAAACATAAGATTCTGGATTAGAAAGAGGGAAGCAAGATATATCAGTGAGAAGCCAAGAGGTGGAATCAGAAGACCGACTTCATGGTACAGCGCCAGCCAGCCCCTTATGTACACGTCCTCAGCAACCAGAAGCAGACATACCTGTAGGACCTCCACAAAGAGACCAAAGAAGAAGATGAAACCCAAGACGAAGAATGACATCGATGCACGTGTGTTTATTTATTTATTTAGAACAAGTGTATTTAACAGTGTTGGGAAGAACCACCATGACTTATTTCATTCCCAGGAGCTCTCAGTGACAATCTCCAGATCAGGCCTGTCCCTTTCACTCACTTAACTAAAGTCTAACGTGAGCACTGGGCAGTCACTCTGCGGTTTCTCAACTCCAACGTTTACAAATACATAAGGCTTTGGGGGCTTAATCTCTTTTTTATTTTTTAAAAACAAATGGCACTGAAATGCATTTGAAAAACTGTTAAGTGACATAAATTAGGTGGAAAAATAAAGCCACTGTGTGCTTTTCCAATAAACATGTTGATAAAATAGTGAGCAAGAAGGTTATACCCCACAACATCTACTAAGTCACATGAGGGTCCCAGTTTGATCCAGCACAGCCCACCCAACACAATACACTTCCTGAATATGCACGAGAATACCCTGGACTTCATGGCCACTGACAGGCGAACAATACCTCAGGAAATATGGAGGGACAGGAGGACAGCACCTCAGGAAATGGGGAGAGGCCAGGTGAACAGCGTCTCAGGAAACAGAGAGGATAGGCGAACAGTGTCTCAAGAAACATGTTGGAGACAGGTGAACAACACCTCAGGAGACAGGCTGAGACAGGGAAATAGGGTCTCAGGAAACATGAGACATGGCACAGGTGACAGCATCTCAGGAAACACTGTGGGGTTGGAGAATAGCAAATGTACACCTCACGCGCCTGTGTGCATTTCCTCTCTTCTCTTATATTCTAAAGTACTTGAGTGCAGGCTCACAGCTAATTCAGTCTTGTGTCCCTTAAGTTCCTGGCACAGGCCCCTCCTGAACAGAGTAAACCATCAATAAATATTTGTACAAATATAAGTCAGAAAACTCTTGCTACAACAAAGTGTTCTACATAAAGACCCAATTTCTGTGTTCCCAGTAAGTTTTTCATAATAATGACATTTGCTTGATCTAGTGAGAGTCTCCTCCAGGGGAGCCTCCACAAACACAGGGCGTTTCTGTTCTCTGAGTGTGCTTGGAAACTTCAGTTAACCGGAACCCAACAGGCCGGAGCCTTCCACCAGCAGACGTTCATCCTGCATTCCTATCCTCAGAACACCTCAATTACAGAAGCAAGAGGCACGTGCTTATTAAAAATCAAGTTGCATCAATTATATGTTCAGTCTAAAACTATCCGTTTGATGGTTTTATTATGCTTTCAAATGATTATCTATGTTTTCAATAGAACTTAAAGTGTCACAAACACTCAAATTAAAAAAAAAATCCCGTATTTAATAAGTAGGGGAAGTAGGTTAGTATAGCTCAGGAAATTTTAAAAATTAAGAATGAAGACAAGAGGAGTCTTCTGGTTAGCCTTTAAGTTAGCAAAAAGTGTTCAATTAATTATTCACTTTTGCCTCCACCTCTCAAAGTGCTGGGATTTCAGGTTTGAGAGAAAAAAACATTCACATGCAAATTAATTGCCTGAAATATTTCATTTGACGACAGCTTTATTTTACTGTGAAAACATGGACACACCATTAACCACAAACCTTCAGTAACTAGAGGTCCCCACCCCTTCCTCACCCTAAGCAGATCTGGTCACTATGGGACCCGTGGAAGGGCTGACCCTGGTGGCTGGGGAAATTTAACAGCCTCCAGGAGAACCTCCTCCTCAACATAGAAGGAAATGACATTATTCCCTTTCCTGGAGGACGAATGAAAAACTCAGAAAAACGCCTAACGCTTAGTAAGTCACACTGTTCAAACGCTTCTGATGACAAGCACCCCTCTCCCAGTCCTGCCTCAGCCCTCACCCCACACCTCTCTTTCCCTCTCCCCCCCTGCTGACTGCCTCTGCTTGCTCTTCTTTCTCCCTGCCCAGCCCTCCATGCTCACTCTTAAGCATGTCCTATCGCATCATTTCTTCTCCTGACTGATGGTGCCTTGTCCAGCACACCCTCTAGCTTATCAATGTGGTGGGGTGCAGTGATGAGTCTGTGCAGCAAGCATGACAGACACATCACAAAGGACTCCACTCAGTACCCTCCAAGATCCACGCAGATGGCCACGAATGACACAAAATATATGGTACCTCGTCCCCCTGCAAAAAAAAAAAAAAAAAAAAAAAATGATGTCCCAAGGTAACTTGGAACTAAAACATATCAGAAGAAGCCAATGATTATTTTGATAGTCTATGTTTAAGTGGTGGAAGTCATTTAAAAAATAATTTTGAAATACTTACGTCTGAAAAAAGCTTGACAATACATCTTATTTATGGAGTACCTATGTGCATAAATCATTGTGCAAGGCACCGTTGGGACACAGGATGAATGCGTAAGATTCGACATAAGTCATCACAATCAGAGGTAGAAAACACCATAAAGAGATACAGATACGCAGAACAAGTGTCATGAGGGAAATGAGATCACGTCCACTGTAAGAGTCTGTGAAATGGTACATGAGATAGGACTTGACAGCCGGAGGCAGGTAGCTACTGGTGGGGGGAAGCAAGAGAAATGGCCAGAGAAGGAGGTCGTATGGCAGGAAGTTATGGGTCACATTCAGAGAGTGGCCATCATCCAATCTGACTGGAAAACTGAGGGTATGAAAATGGCCTGCACCCTGCTCTGCATGCTGGACATGGAGCTTTTGATAAATTCATCAAGAAAAGAATTGAAGAACTAGGACTGGAACAGAACGTGGGAGGATACAGGGGTGTGGGGGCAAGAGGGGACCAAGAAGAGGTCATCAGGTACACCTACACCCAGAGGGCCATACTGTCCCTAAAACTGCTCAGGGAGAAAGGGGACCACTGCTCAGAATAATGTATTTTTATGAAAGCCAGGTGGAAAATTATCCTCAGTCTTAGTCTAAAACAAAAGGAACTAATCAGTCAACGTGTCAAGTTCTCAATGTGTCAGTATCTGAGGATGGTCATCCAGCTATCCCTAAAGGACAGTTCTTACTTTGCTGAGAAGATACATTATTTTCAGCTACTTAATTCATTCTAGAATGATGCTGCATTCTGTAACATTTCTAAACAATGAAAGATAAAGTATGAAATCTGCTTAGTTAAGCCACCTAATTCACAGACACAAAGAGCTCTTCATGAAGACCTGCACATGACGTCCGCAAATGTAAAAGATTGACTGGGTAGTCCAGTTATGCAGAACCCAAGTAGGACTTCATGCACAAAACTTCATGCACAGCTTCTCCTACAGCAGAGGAAGAACATCTAGACAACAGACTGCGTCTAGCTTGATCTCCTCAATGGACAGAAAGCATATCTTAATCATCTTTGAATCCCAAGAGTCTGGCATAGTATCTGCTACTCAGGTGTTCTGTCAATGTTTTGTGAATGATAAAAATAGAGATAGACGGGCGTGACAACTGATATTTCAGATGTATGCAAAATAGGTTGTCCAGGAGTCAGTAGACAATTCTAATACACAATGTGCACATGATTCAAGCCATGTTGTGAATTCCCGTTACGTCCCTCACAGACAATAAGCCAGCAGGAAAAGGCTGACCTACAATTACTAAATTATATGAAGTTAGCCCGAGATAATGTACAAATAGATATTTTGCAACGTTAGAACTAAAGGGTTTTTTCAACTAGCCCTAAAGTTAGTGAACTAGAAAGTATCCTATTAGGTTGGCACAAATGTAATCGCAGTTTTTTGAACTGTTGAAATTTGCCATTTGATATTGGAATACAGTCTTTTTTTTTTCTTATCAGTTATCTCAAATTTAATTCAAAAGACAGGTACAGATGATGTTAATAAGTTTTTAAATTAAAAGGCTAACAGTCAAGGAATAGTCTTAATAAATGTGGTTATGTTGCATATTCCACTTAGTTGATAAACTGGAATATGCCCCATTCTTTGAACATTTTCTTTAGTTGATTTTTAAATGATATATTGAGTTCTAAAAGCTCTAATTCTGGCAATTTTCACAAAAGAAGACCATTGCTCAACAGCCCGTCATGGTAATCTGCCTGGCCAGCAGAAGGATGATGCTTGGTACCTTTATGGTTTCAGTGGGCACTCCAGGTTCCGGAACTTTATCCAAGTAGGTGGTCAAGTCTTGATCAACATGTTCAAACACCAGTGTTAATTTGGTTTCTCTGTCTGTCCGTGACACCGTGCACACATCAAACAGCCTAGAGGAAAAAGAAAGAGATTAAGTAGGTGGCAAAAGCAAAGAATGCAAATCTTGTTCACATCCCTCAATTTCATAATAAGAAGAAAAAGGCCAGTACTGATCATTCCTCATGATTATATGTAGATACCTACAGAGAGGTGACACTTGGACATCAAGAAGGAAGCTCAGGAGAGAGTACTCAAAGCCCTTGGCTAAGCAATGAGGACAAACAGAAGGAAACACAACAGGCGCATGAGACAGCTCGGAGAGCTTCCTTGGTTAAGACCTCAGGTAGAGCTTGCCAGTGGAGGTCATTTCAAAAGCTTGCAGTCTAGGCAAAATGTTTCCTTGTAGCTCATAGCTGAACAATTATTAGAGACTAAGCATTCTTTGGAGACTGTACTGTAAACTAAGGTGTCACAATCATGTCTATGCAAACAAGTATGTTGGAATATGGAGAAATTTAGTTTATTTCTAAGAGACCCTTCTTATCCTTCTAAGTCAAATCATTTCCCAGAAAAGGGCCTAAGTTCTTGGCTGATTCTCAAATTTCAAATACCATGCTAATCAACATTGTGAATCTTTTCTTTTTGGGAAAATGCAGGTATTGGTAAGCTATTAGGTTGGCGCAAATGTAATTGCGGTATTTGAATTGAAATTTGCCATTTGATATTGGAATAAAGCCTTAATAAATGTGATTATGTTATATATCATTTTAATGTGCATTTCTTGCTTTATTTATTTATTTTTTGCTGATGACTTGCTGTTTATTCTAGGCAACAGAAATGATGTTAGACAAAAACAAAATTGGAGTGATTTTCTTATTTGAGTTTAAAATGGGTCATAAAGCAGCGGAGACAACTGACAACATCAACAACGCATTTGACTCAGGAACTGCTAACGAATGTACAGTGCAGTGGTGGTTCAAGAAGTTCTGCAAAAGAGAAGAGCGCCTTGAAGATGAGAAGAATATTGGCCGGCCATTGGAAGTTGACAACGGCCAACTGAGGGCAATTATCGAAGCTGATACTGTTCCAACATATGAGAAGTTGCCTAAGAACTCAACGTTGACCATTCTACGGTCGTTTGGCATTTGGAGCAAATTGGAAAGGTGAAAAAGTCAGTGCCTCAGGAGCTGCCGAAAATAAAAAAAATCATCATTTTGAAGTGTTATCTTCTCCTATTCTGTGCAATAACAATGAACCATTTCTTGATCGGATTGTCCCATGTGATGAAAAGTGGATTTTATATGACAACTGGCAATGACCAGCTCAGTGGCTGGACTGAGAAGAAGCTCCAAAGCACTTCCTAAAGCCAAACTTGTGCCAAAAAAAGGTCATGGTCACTGTCTGGTGGTCTGCTGCTGGTCTGATTCACAACAGCTTTCTGAATCCTGGCGAAACCATGACATCTGAGAAGTATGCTTAGCACAGTGATAAGATGCACCGAAAAAGGCAATGCCTGCAGCTGGCATTGGTCAACAGAAAGGGCCCAATTCTTCTTGACAATGCCCAACCACACTTTGCACAACCAAGGCTTCAAATGTTGAACAAATTGGGCTCCAAAGTTTTGCCTCCTCTGCCATATTTACTGATCTCCCGCCAACCGACTACCACTTCCTCAAGCATCTTGACAACTTTTTGCAAGGACAATGCTTCCACAACTAATAGGATGTAGAAAATGCTTTCCAAGAGTTTGTCGAGTCCCAAAGCATGAATTTTTGCACTGCAGGAATAAACAGACTTATGTCTCGTATATAATGGTTCCTATTTTGATTAATATAGATGTATTTGAGCCTACTTATAATGATTTAAAATTCACAGTCCAAAACCGCCATTACTTTTGCACAAACCTGATATACTGTCCCTAAATGATAAAAAAGACAGATAAACAAACATTATAATTAAGTTTGGATGGGTGAATCCTGTTTCTTCTACAAAACCTTAAAATGAAGTTAAAATTTAAGTTTTACAAACAAAGCCTCCAGGAGTTAAAAGAATTTTCAAGCCAAAGGACAACATTCCCTTTAAATTTCAACCACAGCATATGATTTGGCAAACAGATTCTCACCAAATGTTTGAAGAATCAAACAAATGGATCATAAACAAGCTGTATGAAAATTTCTTGATGGGAATGTAATATAAAGACTAAGAAGACAGGGTGCAGTGGCTCAGCTCTGCAATTCCAGCACTTCGGGAGGCCTAGGTGAGAGGACTGCCTGAGCCCAGGGGTTCAAGACCAGTCTGGGCAACTTGGTGAGACCTCATCTCTACAATAAATCAAAAAATAAGCCGGGCGTGGTAGCGTGCAGCTGTGGTTCCAGTTACTTAGAAGGCTGAGGTGAAAGGATTGCCTGAGCCCAGCAGGACGAAGCTGTGGTGGCTGTGAGCATGCACTGTACTCCAGCCTGTGCAACAGAGTGGGACTCCAACTCAAAAAAAAAACAAAAAAAAGAGAATAAGAAAGACTGATAAAATGCTTTCACATTACTTTCTTTAATTTATAAAAAACTGAATAAAGACCCTTTTCAAAGCAGCACACTGTAAATGAGCTGCAGCGCAACCACGGAGGCAAGGGCCAGCTACCGCTTACCCATCTGCACATGGCCTGCAGCCCCCTCACTACATCTACTCTGGCCCTTGTGGGCTCGCACTCAGTACTTCTCTGTGAATCTAAACCAAACTTTAAAGGAAACTAAGAAAACATTGTATGTTAAATCTGGTGGGGTGAATGACAGACCATCAACAACTACACACACTTCACAGCCAGATCCACACTTGGTTTAAATTATGGGCAGTTCTACGACTCCATTAAAATCTACAAAAATCACCTGAATTTTTTCCTCACATTTACCTACTTCCAAATATTCTGACCTCTAATATGTACTTATAAACTTAGTGGTTTCCCCTCGTGTGACTTATTCTGGAAGAATGTTCTGATAAAGTAAAAACTCCTAATAAATAAAAGATAGAGCCATAAGCCATATTAAGTCCTACACTAAAAGACACGACTACTGCCATGCAACATTTGGGAAGTTTATCAAAGTGACTCTCCCACTTTGGTAATTCACACTTATCCACAGGCTTTCTTGAGCCACCTTATTTCTATTAAACCCATATATGAGGGCAGCCCCCCAAAAAACAGAATTGTCTTTTGGAGGGTGAGCTCCTTGTAGTGCAGGCTTCCCCCGCTAGGTAAGTATTCTAGTGGACCAGCTAGCGTTGTTGTGAGAGGCTGAGTTCGGCTTCAGTGAATTTTTTTTGCGTGTAGAGATTCTTTCAACACGTTTGTCCATTTCATGATGGACAATTTACAAGTGCACCTGCCCACATTGTGCTGAATGTTCAGCAGTTTTTAACCAAAAACAGCATGACCCCTGTGCCCTACCCACCCTATGCACCCGATCTTGCCCTGAGCGACTCCCACCCCGCCATGAAAAAGTCCTCAAAGGGAAACGTTTTGCCGATGTGGAAGAGATAAAACAAAAAATGGCAGAAGCACTAAAAGGCATCAAAACCGACAAATTCAAAAACGATTTTGAGCAGTGGAGAAAGTGTCTTGATAGGCATATTGCATCTAACAGAGAGCACTTGGAAGGTGACTGAAGATTCAATATGTGAAAATAAACACATGATTTTTTGATAGATAAATTCCAGGTTTTTCTACTCCCCATGGACTTCACTTTTTTCTTCCTTTTGAAGAAGAAAAAGGAGCTCCATGTCACCAGCCTTCTTCAGAGTGGTTGCTTCTAGTTTTGTAATCAGCAATGAGCCTCAAATGGCAGGTACTAAGATCAAATGCAAACATGGAAACTGGACCACACCACCCCATTCAGCTGTGCTTCTTGAACGTCACTTTGAAAATGTTTCCTGCTATGATGAATGCATTTAATGACAGAGGATGCCGTTTATCACTGCCTGAAGTCAACAATGATTTCAATAACCCCAGTTCTTACTGCATTTATGTTTGTAAGCTACGTAAGACACTTCAGTAATTTCTAAAACCAAAAAAATTCTTATGGGGTTGTAACTGGAGAATAAAATGCTCCTAAACACTGCTGAATGCTACACCTGCCCCCAGTGGTGGTCTCAGAAGGGAGTGGGCAGCCCTGCCGGGGTGCCACTGCCTTGCTGCTTGAAAGCACTTTCAAGCTTTCTCTGCATGGCACAATCAACCCATCACACTGCTCCTCAGAGTTGAACAGCTGTCTTTAGAATATTAAGATTCGCGGGTGCCACCTGTAGCAGTCAGACCCCATGAGTGACGTTCAGGGACGATCAGATGTGGAAGGTGAGTGCCCAGAGCCACTGCCCATCATCCTGACGACAAGCCTTGGAGAACAGGTGCTCGTGTTAAAAAGTGGAATTTTAAAGAAACGTGTTATGATGGTGTGTGGAGCAGGACTTTTGTGTCTGAATTCTAGTGTATATACTTGCATTCATCAGAAAGAGTGCTACAAGAAGGGAGGGTCTGTTTGGGGCCTGAGGAGATGATCCTCTTGACTGTTGAGGTGCTGTTGCCACCATCATGTGGGACACAAAGAAGACTAGGTTCTCATGAGGCATTCACAGCGGGTACTGGGCAAGTTCAAGTTTTGGGAGCATCTGGACACCCTTCCTTCCTTCTTTTTTAATTTTTTTAGTTTGTCAGGGTCTCAGGCTGCCCAGGCTGGAGTACAATGGTACAATCATGGCTCGCTGCAGTCCCCAGCTGCTGGGCTCAGGTGATCCTCCCACTTCAGCCTCCTGAGTAGCTGGGACTACAGGTGTGCACCCCACATCCAGCTTATTTTTAAATTTTTTGTAGGGGCACGGTCTCGCTGTGTTGCCCAGGCTGGTCTTAAACTGCTGAGTTCAAGCAATCCTCCCACCTCAGCCTCCCAAAGTGTTGAGATTACAGGCATGAACCACCAAGTTCAGCCAGCACTCCTCTTTCTGACTTCAGTGCTGGTTAGACATCAACATCCTTTAGACCCAGAACTCCATAGAAAATAACTGAGGAAATACTAAACTCTGATATTTTGTCTGACAAATCTAGTTTGGTTAATGTTTAGTAAACATTATTGTAGTAAAAATTAAGTTATATTAGTCACGATGGGTAGAAATGCATTTTGAATCCACAATTGTAAATATTAATCTTAGAAATCTTATAATACATTTAGGATGCTTTTTCATCTACAATGACTCCCTCTGGAATTACTCCAAATCAAATAATAGTCACTGTGGTGGGCCATAAAGAGAAGACAGAAGCATTAATAAAGAAAGTAAGTTTCACAGAAAGCACTGAGCTAAACAAGAACTAAGATCCCTGGTACTGGGCTGGAGGTTAACCATTGGTAATGTATTTAGACAAACCAGTGGGGAATGTGCTAGGCTGACCAGAACCCTACACTTGCAGAACTGAAGCGCCAGGCAGGGCTCTGGACATCTGAACGTGGTCTCTGGAAATAACTTCAACTAAATGATTCCTCATGTTCACCAACATTTTAAGATGCTCTAAAACATGTTTGCTAGATATTCAGTAAATTCATAAAAATGCCATTTCAAGGATTGCATGACTGCAGTTCCATATGAAAAATGTAATCACACTTGAGTATGAACTAAATAGCTCACATGACTTTTAGAGGAAAAGAAAATTGCTGTTCAGTATTTATCCATTAAAGCTGGGCTTAATGCAACCCAAAAGGGTGTGTGAAAAGTGGTTATCCACATTTATTAAGGCTCTAATTCAGTGTAGCTGTGCAAGATGTAATACAAAACAAGCAGATAGGTTGGTACTGTCTCACAGGCTGGCCAAGCCCCTAACTATCCCATAAAGTAAGCTCTCTTGTTGATTCCACTGCCCAACCTCAGATGAGGGCAGGGAGCAAGCCTTGCTGGCCAGCCCAGTTCTCAGCCTCCCAGCTGTCCCAGTGATGCGATGACCTCATAACAAAACATCTCCGTGAACTAAGCCAGCATCCGACCCATTGTGGCTCTTAATGGTTGCTTCCTGCTCATGTTCTCAATTTAACTTGTGTTCTGGATCTGTTGCACAGGCAAGCTGCCTCCAGCTGATGGATGGGATAACATCCAATTGGTCTGGGATTTCCAAAGATCACAACTTACAAAGGTCTCCCCAACAACGCACTTTGTAAACACAGTCCTGCCTTTCTATTGTGGTTTTAATAAAAGGGAAATCTGTATTATATGCTGTGATTAAACTCTGACCCATCACAGGAAGTTCTATGAGAATTTTTCCTGTGGCTTTTTCCCCCATTCTCTCGAATGTTTGGACATCAAATAGTTTAAGAGCTGAAAGAAGTCTGGCACAGCTGCCTAGGAGCCACACAAAATTTTATTTGAACCGGAGCCAGTCCTGGGAGTCGAGAAGAATTCTTTTGTTTGGAATATCCCCTTTGGTTCATGAGGCATACTCTGTGGGTCTGGCCTGATCACCACATTCGCATTCACACACCTCATGCGCCTCTACCAGTGGACATGGGCCATGCGTTCTCTGTTCATGAGACATGAGCTGTGAGTGCACTCACTCTCCAACACTGATGGGGCAGTCCAGAAGTACCTGCCACCACTAATGAGCTGCGCCAGGAGGACATCGCGATGCCAGGAGGTCGAGGTTGCAGTACGCTATGATGGTGCCATGCACTCCAGTTTGGGCAACAGAGTCAGACCCTGTCTCAAACAAAATAAACACCGACAAACACCAACAAAACACCTACAAACACCACCCAGCACCCACATGCGCTGGCACCACTCTCCGAGCGAGTTTCCAAGATATGGCAGGTATCACCTGAGAGCTTCACTACCTAGCTGCTGGAAACAAGACTTACTTATAAAGTACATGTCAAGACACATGACTGCGTATTAATACCAAGGACATTTCATTAAACACTACGTGCGACTTAAGTATCATATCACAGAATGTTTACTCTATGGCCTACTATAGTAGACTTCGGGTGTGCTCTGCCTTCCCAGCACCCATTTGCCTCTCCTGGAAACCCCATCCTTGTTTTCTGTGAGAAACTACTCCTGCCCCAGACTCAGGCAGCATGATTTTGAGGCAAAGGCCTAGGGGTGGCATGTGACCAACTCTGGACAGAGTGACAAAGACTGACTCAGGGAAGGACAGGACCATGAGAATCAGCCCCTGGAATTCTGCTGGACCTTCTGAGAGAGTAAAGCCTTCTTTATATCAGGATTACCAGATTGGTCGAGCATCAGCAGCTGCTGGTGGCTGTCATTGCCTCCTGTTAGTGAGTCTCCCATAGATGCAGCCAGTCCCAAGAGGGCCAGAGCAGAGGGACAGCAGCAAGGGGCCCGGATGACACTGTGTAAGCACCCAGACTCACCTGGGCCTGATCTACTAATTACGTGAGCCAGTCTAGTCCCTTTACTTACTCACCCAGTGGCAATTGGGTTTTTATTGCAACAGAAAACTATCCTAAGACAGCTATAAATACTCTGAAATGACAGTATGATTTCAAAACACCAATATCTGATCTCAAATATGTCTTAAGACAGTAGACAAAATGAGACAAGCGGTGGCAGTGTCCTCCAGTGATGTCAGTAGCTCCGTCCTGGCTGGGGCCTAGCCACCTATCCTAAGTGGCTCCTCCGTCTGCTTGTCCAGGCAGCAAAAGTAACTGATTCAGTGGACCAGGTTGACCCGTCTCTCCCCAAGAACAGGCAGCTTCTCCCCAAACTCTACCTAGGGTTCCTGGTCTGACCACAGTGATACTTCATGGAGAAAAATAAGAGAAATCAGAGAAAAGAAGAAGACAGACAAGCTCATCAGACAGGAATACGGAACCTAGAAGAGGAAAGGACTCACTGGGTAACAAAGTGAGGAAGGAAGGAGAAGCACTTAAAAATAATACATAGGACAGGCACGGTGGCTCACTCCTGTAATCCCAGTGCTTTGAGAGGCTACCTGACGTCAGGAGTTCAAAGTCCGTCTGAGCAACTCTTGTCTCTAAAAAATATAAAAAAATTAGCCAGAAATAGTGGCATGTGCCTATAGTCCCAGCTACTCGGGAGGTTGAGGCAGGAGAATTACTTGAGCTAAGAGGTCAAGGTTACAGTAAGCTACGATTGTGCCACTGCACTCTAGCCTGGGCATCAGAGCCAGACCCTTTCTCAAACAAACCAAACAAACAAAAACTAATACACCAAAGACAATTAATCGAAAAGTTGTGTCCAGTGTGCAGAGGCATGTTCTCCTGAAGTTCTCAATCAAATGGCCCCTCTCACTCTCTACTGCTGGAGTGGAAATGCATGGAACATCAGCCAACAGGCACCATACAGCAGAGAAGCCCGGGGCTAATACGAGAAGATGGCCCCCCGCTCTGCAAGGGAACAGGAGTTAACGCCTTCCACTTACTAACTCACTTCAGTCCTCAGGCTTAATGAGAGCATTCACAGAAAGTCCCAAGGTTAATCTCTTAATTTTAGTTCCAGCTTCTATCTACACTCATCGGCACCATGGCTATGGGAGTTAATATCTTCGGAATTTGTTAACCAAAACATGTTTTACACGTGAAGTGGGACTCCCCAAATTGGGCAAGTTGACTAGGCACAACTTGCACCACAGTAACTATTGAAAATAAAGCAAACAAACTGTGTATGTGAAACAGCCCCGACCACATGATCAGCAACTGGTGAGCTCCTAGCCAGGCCACAAGAGAGCCACTCAGGAGGGCTTGATGGGCACCCGGAAGCCTATCTGCGGCTCTGTTTATACTCAACATGAACTCCAGGAATGGACATTAAATCACAGTATTCAAGTTGCCTTCACACAAGCACGAGAGGCACGTGTCCATGACCAAACATGAGTCCTTCAGACTGCTCTTGAATTCATTTTAATGAAAGGCAGAGAGAAGAACCGGTTGCGGCATCACTCTGTCAAGCCAAATATATGCTTTTATGGGGAAAAGAAAATCTTGCTTTAGAGCTAAAACAAAGAAGGAAAATTGTAGAGACATACCTGTTGTTTTACAGGGAAGATAATGGTGTCAGGGGCAAGATACTTGATATGTGAACCGAATCACCACATGGATCATGATCTCCCCAAAGACAAGAGAGAGAAAACCCAGGCAGCCAAGCCATAGGGAGGTGAAACTCTTACTATGAGTCCAGTTCCAATGCAAAATGGCTGTGGAAGTTCAAAAGGGAAATCAGGCCAATGCTACAAAAAGAAGAAATCTGCCAACCAAGAGAAGTAGGGACTGTGAGGTCTACAGTGGAATAAAGAACAGCACACCCACCCCAGCTATTGCTTGGCAATGGGCACTGCCTTTTGCCTCTAGAGGCTGCTACCTGGACATGATGGGTTTTTAGCCTTTTTCTTATACAACAGTTACCCAGCCAACCACTTCACACGCACAGATAGGGCCTAAGGAACAAATGAATTAAGAGACCCCAAAACCTGTGGCACCTGGCAAGAGTGCAGGATGGGGGACCTCAAGTCCCAGGCCTCACTGGGAGGCAAGAGATTACAGATGAGCAAAAACTAAAGGCTACTCTCAGTGGGAAGCACCTCTGGGTATTTGTGCTTGTTCTTTTCTTCTGATTCTCCACAGCACCAGTGCCATGTATGACACACAGCAGGTGAATAGGAAATGTCTTCTGAATCAATTGAATTTTTCGAAATTATAATGTAGGGAAAGGTAAAAAGTGGAACTGCACACTTACACATGTGAATTTTATGGCATGTGATGCATATCTCAATACAGCTGTTAAAAACAGAAAGTAGAGAGATGGTGGCATACAGGCTTGATGCTTTGTCTGAAGCACAGAGACAGCAAGTGGCAGAGAAGGGTTCTGAGATCCACTGCCTGGCTGCAGTCAGGTTTCCTATCAGCTCTGTGTCCGACTGCCGTGTCCAGCATGGTACATGGCTTGCACGACAGTGGGGCCATGAGGGTGCAGACCCTCTGAGACAAATGCAGCACTCTGCTGTCAGCACTGTGGAATGTCAATCCCCACACATCTTTGGTGAGCTTAGAGATCCCAGCATAGACAAGGCGGGCTCCAAAGAATCAGAATTATTTTTTGGAGGGCAAACAACAGTAATACAGGCAAAAAATTGTAGTCCAGGCTTTCCCTGCTGGGTAAGTGTTCTAGGAACCCATCGGCATTCGTGGATCAGCTAGCATTGTTGCAACTGGCTGCATTCAGCCTCAGTGAATTTTTTTGGAGATTCTTTCAACACACTTGCCCACACCACGCTGAGCGTTCAGTGGCTTTTGACTACAAACAGCATGACCCCCATGCCCCATACTCCCAATTCACTCAATATTGCCCCAAGTGACTTTTTATTGTTTCCCCAGATGGAAAAAGTCCTCAAAAGGACACATTTTGCCCATGTGGAAGAGGTGAAACAAACAACGGCAGGAGTATCAAAGGCATCAAAAGGGACGAGTTCAGAAACTATTTTGAGCAGTGGAAAGAGGGTCTCAATAGGTATACTGCATCCAAATGGAGAACACTTTGAAGGTGACTAAAGTTTAAACATGGAAGGTTAAACAATTTTTTTTGAATGAGAGTCACACTGTTGCCCAGGCTGGAGTGCAGTGGCACACTCAAGGCCACCGCAGGGCTGGGCTCAGGTGATCCTTCTGCCTCAGCCTTCCAAGTAGCCAGAACTACAGGTATGCACTACTACACCCGGCTAATTTTTTGATATATTGTAGAGATGAGGTCTCACCAAGTGCTCAGGAGGGTCTCAAAACCCTGGGCTCAGGCAATCCTCTTGCTTCAGCCTCCCAAAGTGCTGGGATTACAGGCTTGAGCCACTGCACCTGGCCCTACAATTTTCTATAAATAAATTCCAGGTTTTTCTGGGTCCCTGGAAAAAAAAAGTTCAGAAAACTCACAGGAAATTGTTAAAAGCTGAAGACTGTTGGTCTCCTAAGCCTTCTTCCCTTGAATAGTTAGAAAATTAGCACACTTCAACGCACCTGACAGAGCTTGGCCAAGAGATTCTGATCTCAAAAATACACGAGTTAAGTGATATTTCTAAAAGCAGAATGAACAGCTCTGGTTCAAGTCAGATGAGCGCAGAACTTTCTGGACTGCTTTCAACAGCAGTCCTCTGTCCACTTCTGACCTGTCAAAGCTCCGTTTTCCAGCCTTGGACCTCTCTTGAGGAAAAAAAGACTGAAGTTGAAATCAGACAGCCATTGGTGATGAAGACTGCTGGTCTAGGAGAGAGCCAGCCAGGCCAAAAATCCCTCTTGACCATGTTCTTCCTAGATGAGCAAAATACCCCAGCACTAAGCATGCAGGCACTGATGATGAGCTCTTATCTAATAAAACAACCCCCAAAGTTAACTCCTTTTAAGGAAACATAAATGACAAACATATAAGAAAATGTTAAACCCTAGTAGTATCTTGAAGAAACAGAAAGGAAAACATCAGTGATATACTACTGAAGCCCTTCAAATTGGGTTAAAGAACTTGTTTAATCCTAAAACTGCACAGCATTTGTGAAAACGGTTTGTGAAAATGGGCCACATCACTGTGGAAGTACACATTGGTAAAATTTTCCGAGTGTAATCTGGTATCTCTCTTTTTCTCTCTCGTGCACACACACACA